TTTCAATCATAGAATTTAAATTAATTTATAAAAAGTAAAGACTTCTTTAGATCTATTACATAATATAAATAATTGACTTATAAATAGTAATATAATAAAGAGAAAATTATCTCCACTACCACTTTATCAAAATCTTCTTTTCCAATCTACCATAATTAAAAATCATTTTCTTCAATACCATAAACTCTACTTAAAAAGACAATTTGCCCTTTACACTCTTTATCTTTCTCCTTCTCTCTTTAATGGTAAAAGACTCAGAGGATCTCTCTCTGATGGTAAAGAAGATAGATGATGGTGTCTCCAGAAACGAAGTAGGTGGAGGACGAAAATGGTGGTGGACAGAGAGACGAAGATGGTTGTTATGGACAAAGAAGGTAGTTGTTATCGTAAAAAGAGACAGTGGTGAATCGTGACAGAGACGTAGATGATGAAATGGTGGACAAAAATGACGATGAAACCGCTAATTATTGACATGGACGAAAACGATGGTGGATGGTTGACATAAACGAAGACGGGGACAATGGTTGAGGACGAGATGGTGGTCGATGGTGGACAAGAAGGAGCCGGAATATCAGTTTTGTCGTCCACCAATTAATCTACCACAATTTAATGAATTTTAGACTAGGGACAAAAACGTAACGTAACAATATGAAGTAATATAGAGGAAAAAAAATAATGTAATGTGGTAGATTTGGAAAGATACTTTTGAGAAAATGGTAAATTTAGAAATATTCTATATAATAAAACTAGTAAACGCTACTATTTTTGTTGGCCATGAAATGATAGAGAACAGTACTGACTACTACTGAGAGAGAAGGAAAGCGGCACTTCAACTTAAAATACGACATTAATTGGGTTTAAAAAGTGGTATGGTATTTTATTTTGTTTTCACATCATCGAGACAACATATATCACCTTATGCTTTCTGTTGATTTAATATTTTCTGTTTTTTCACTAATCAAAGCTATCGATATAACGTAACAGACTCGTACGATAAAGTTTTGTTGACTTTGTATAAAAATACCTAAAAATTAATTAACAACACCTAAACGAACCTGAAGCATTTATAGAAATTCTTCAATTGCTTGTGGGAGACTTACGGACAATGTTGGCGCAGCTATCCTTGAGAAGACGAGGGAAGAGTGGATTCAATAGAAACATTTAGGGCCAACGCTTTGGATCTATGGTCAAAAACATTTTGCAAGGCTCCAATGTTCTCAAATTGGCCAGAGAAAATCTAATTTGTAGATTTCAAGTATGCATTTTATCGGATCCATTGAAGAAATCGGTGGGAATATAGTAGTGTTGGCTGCGCTTGAGCAATTCCCGGTGTGATCAATACGCTAGTGCATGAGGTTATAACTAAGATCAAAGGAGCATTGGCTTTGGATTTGACCTTCATCTCTATTTCTAATTGAACCCTATATTTTGTTCTCCTTTCCATTTTTTTTTAGCTTGAGGCAGGATTGATCCTGAGCCAAGACCAATGATGGCTTCCAATTTTCTATGGTTTTCAATATTAAAAATAGGCTCCCGTTTTAATTTTTTTTGTAAGAACTCCCTAAAATTTTAAAATCTTAATTTTTGTTCTTATTTTTTAATATCATATCTAATATATTATTTTTGTTTCGGACCCTCAAAATTTCACTTGAGGCTAGGTGCGTGGATGTTATAGGAATAGGAATAGAATTGGAACTTATACGGTTATATAAAGATAGATGAGGGAGGCATTTGGTAATGATTTTTACTGTAGATTTTTACTTTAGACTTTTAGTTGTAGAGATTTTGGTGGTTAGTTCTATGGATGTTGCTTTAAATACTAATAAAAACTTGTTTGGTAATAAAATCTGTAGAAGCTGCTGTGACTGTTATTTAATAATTATTTAAACATAATTATTTTTTAAAAAATATAAATTATGACATAAATCTGATAAAAAACCTATTATATAATTAGGGAGTTCTCTCTCCATCTAGGGTGTCTACATCATCAAAACAAAAATTGTTACATTAAAAT